CCATGTTGCTGAAAACACTTTTCCATAACCCCCATCACCAATTTTTTGAATATTACTTAGTTTATCGAATGGAATCTATTCAATAACCTCATCATGCATTGTAGCTTTGTACTGAAATTCTTTAATGCAATTATCAATGTCTTCATTTCCACTTGACCATCCGTTATTAACGGTTATATCGAAGTCACACTTCTGACACCAGAAATAAAATGTGTTAAGCTGTTTACAATTTTTACATGTCCCATATTTTCCAAATTTTATATATTCCTTCCATTGTTCTATAAGATAGATTAATTTTCCAAAGTGCTCTTTTTTTATATTTTTTTCATCTTTTTCTATAAATTCTACCAATGAATCGTTTTTTAAATATTCTATTACAGTATCTATTTTGACTAATGATTGTTTTCCTACTTTTTCTACTTCTTTTTCTGCTTCTTTTACTAATGTTATTAATTCTTGTTTTGTAACAAATTCTTCTGCAATATCTTTTTTTTTCTTTGCATTTTCTGATGCTTGTAATTCTTCTATGAAGTTTGCAATTGAAAATATTATTGTCGCCATATGACTTGCCATTAATATTTTTTCTTTTTTTAATAATTCTAAGTGTGTATTCTTTTTCTCATCTATTAGCATCATTGCTACGCCCAATTTTCCCAAGTCATCATTGTGTAATTTCTTTTCTTCTAATTCTGACATGAAGAATAATCCATTCTTTCTTTCTGCTAAACCTTTTAATACTCGCAATATATCTAACGCATTTACAGTCTTTGATTTTGCAGCTTCTAATTTTGTAATGTTTTCATCAATGGATTCTGTGAATTCTTTTTGTGAAATATATTCGTCTTCTTCTAAATTCCCTTCTTCTTTTTCTAATAAGCGTAATTCTGCTATAAAGAACGCCTCCATAAATATAAAGTCTGTTTGCGCTTCTATTAAAAAGTCTCGTCGTATATTTGCTGCTTAAAAGTTTTTTTTTCGCCTATTAACTTCTTCCTTTGCTTTTGATGCCTATTCATCATCTTTACTTACTTCTAATAATTTTGCTAAATTCGTGTTTGATTTCTTATATTCATTCAATATAAAATAAGTTTCTCCGCGATATCTCAAAGCGAATGCATTGTTTTGCTCAATTTCAAGCAAATCTTTTAAATTTGTAAGTGCTTCTTCATATTTTCCCATAATAAAATTAGCTTTTGCACTATATCTTAACGTTTCACTTGGGTTAATTTTGAGTGAATTTAATGACTCGATGAAATATTCATTCATGTCTTTATTTTCATTATCGCATTGTTTAAGAGCTTTAATCTATTCTTCTTTCACTCGATCATCATCAATATCATTATCAGTTATTGCTATTCGTAAAAGTAATATTAAAATAAACTTTAAAAAAATTATACATGCAAATATTCAATGCTAGATAAAATATATACCGATATATTCCAACTTTTTATTTCCAAAATTCGCCTCTATAGATATAGATCCACCTTTTGATCTTATTCCAATGCAAGGATAGTAAAGATCTTTCTTTAAATATCGAAACACAATTCCTAAAAAAGGTGTAAAACATTTACCTTTATCACTCAAATAAATTTAGTACTAAATAATAATTACCTAAATTTACTCCGTTTTTAGTATAAAACACAGTATTATTTCTAAAATTTAAAAAACATCTGATAATATCTCCTGACTTGAACTCAGGTCCGTATGGCTCTTCAATCTCTGAACAATCAAAGAAACATCCATCATCGCTATGATATCTCCACGAATTTCCATCCCATCCTAAATAATAAAGTATTGAAATAAAGTATTGAATAAGTATATTTTTACGGCAGACAAAAATCAGAATAAATTATTACCGGGTAACTTATTTAATTCAGCTAATTTTGTGCAAAATCCAATTGCAATAATTCTTCAAAAGATTTAGAAAATGTAAGAAAACGAATCTTATTTAAAGTTGCTAATGGTTTATATCTTACCCATTTTCTTCATTATTTAGAATGCTAATTTCAAAGTAAAACAAGTTGTATTCTGGCGGAATAGGATTATTCGTGCGAATTACTGCATCATCATTATTTTCGTTATGACCTTTTTATTTAAAAAATTTTTGCAAGATAATATATTTATGTAACCTTAGTATTTTTTTAGTTTTCGAATGCATTTAGTAATAATATATGCACTCACCTATATAATTTACTCTAAGCTCATTTGAATCCACACTTAAAAAAGCGGATTTATCATTAACATCCCATGTGAGTGGCATTATATTAATTGTTCACTCAATGCTTGTAGGTTAATACAACTGTAAATGTGTGATAGACTGTATAATGTTAATTCAATTAATAATTCTATTAAACGTCAGCATAGTGAACTTTTATTGTGATTGGCTGATTTTTGTAGATCATCTCGTCATACTAAAGTATTATTAAAGTAACGATTTTTCGTTAGTCACAAGAATTGATTCGCAGCCACGAATATGAATTC